TTTCATTTTTAATTGGCGTGCGTGTGCAAAATTGCATCCTGTATATATAAACACTTTCACGTTGCTTGCAAATAAGAGACAATTATTTGGGGAAACTCTGGGCCCAGGGCAGACTTTGCCTCCCCCACCTCCTGAATATTGCTCCCCCCCCCACACCCATTTTGTGTTACTTTTCCAAGCAGCAGACACAAAGCAGCCTATGCTAAGTCATCCGTGGCTGGAACCCAAATGCATTTCTGAGTCGATGGAAAATGGATTATGCGGAATTGAACAAACAAGAGATTTCTTGGCTACTGTTCAACTGAGTGTTCTTCCAGAGCTCTGCCAGCACTGCCTGCTGTCAGAAGTATTTTGGCTAGGACTTTTTGGGGGGGCTGGGGAGAAGGGGGGTAGCTCAGTTGCTAGGGAGGGAAGTGCAGGGTGTTTTTTCCAGCCTGATCACAGGACGGGATGCTCCAAATAAAACTTTCGGATTTATTAACAACCCCAAAAGAGTTGGGAAAAAAAATGCTAAAGCAATATAATAAGAGCAATGTGATAACTATTTAAGAAAAATTTACATGGTTTAAATAGTTTGTAACTATTTGCAGACCCGTTATGTAAAGGGAAGATAATTTATCAGGATTTACTATTTTAAAAAAATTTCAGCATCCAGTCAGGATGGACTTTTTTTTATGTTTAATGTTGGATGTTTGGTCTTTATTATTATTATTTTTCCTCTTTTTTGTAAACATTTTTTCCTTTTGTTGTTGTTACTGTTGGATGTATGTTCTTTTCTGGTTTTTTTTTTTCTGTTTTGTATTTTATTCCTATTGATAAAACATAATAAATATCTATTTTTAAAAAAATGAATGCCCTCTACAAATACTTATAGGAATTACCTGTACATAGCAGTACTAACCATTTCATTTGACATAATCAGGCCTGATCCTGCTTAGTGTTTTTTTTTTTCCAAGCCTGATCGAGGACAGCTGGATACTGTTCCTTGCAGTGGTAATTCTAAACTGCTCCCCAGCCTGTCTTCACTTCTGGTTTTTGTTCTCCGGGCTAAGATTTGTCTTGTCGAACTGTGACAAGTCAGTTGTCATCAGAGATTTCCTTGCCTTACTCTTTGGCTTTCATGCTCCTTTCCTCCTGAATCCTTGCCCAAATAACAGGAGAACAGAGTTCTAGTCCAACCTCTTGCTGAGGCAGGAAACCCGATACCATTTCGGACAAAAGGTTGTCCAATCTCTTCTTAAAATCCTCCAGTGTTGGAGCATTCACAACTCCTGGAGGCAAGTTGTTCCACTTGTTAATTGTTCTCACTGTCGGGAAATTTCTCCTTAGTTCTAAGTTGCTTCTCTCCTTGATTAGTTTCCTTCTGTTGCTTCCTGTCCTGCCTTCAGGGGCTTTGGAGAATAGCTTGACCCCCTCTTCTTTGGGGCATCCCCTGAGATATTAGAACACTACTATCATGTCACCCCTAGTCCTTCTTTTCATTAAACTAGACACACCCAACTCCAGCAACTGTTCTTTACATGTTTTAGCCTCCAGTCCCCTAATCATCCTTGTCCTTCTTTCTTCTCTGCACTCTTTCTAGAGTCTCAACATCTTTCCTGCAAGCAATGTGAACTTTGCTTCCTGCTCTCTTGGCCAAAATGCCTTAGTCACAAGAGCATTTGTGCTAGGAAAAGATACAGAACGTAATCCAACAGCAGCTGCACAGGCTCTCGGCCAGAAAAAGCTCAGCGTTGCTCCGTGTCCAAATCTTGGCTGAATAAGGGGTGGAGGGGCGCCCAGGAAGTTAGGGAAGGAAGAGAGATGATCCCAGCTCTCTAAAGTGAATTCTAGTCCAATTATGGTTTCTAAGGATAGAATCGCACAACGTGCTTAACATGCTTATCTCATCGGCACATTCTCTGAGTTTATCCAGCCCTTTGAATCGCAAACGGAGTGGGCTAGAGTCACACCACCCCCAAAAAAACCCCAAGGCCGAAAACCCAACTTAGCAGGTGGTGGATGCAAATGGAACTGCTTGGTTTGTAAGCAACCTGGTTAAACATGTTGTGTGAAACGAACTGTATTTGGTTCCATGTCTGTGAATTAAAGACATGCCATGAAGAAGAGCCGTGGTGGCACAGTGGTTACGAGTGCAGTACTGCAGGCTACCTCTGCTGCCTGCTGGCTGCCTGCAGTTCAGTAGTTCGAATCTCACCAGGCTCAAAGTTGACTCAGCCTCCTGTCCTTCCGAGCTGGGTAAAATGAGGACCCAGATTGTTGGAGCAATACACTGACTTTGTAAACCACTTAGAAAGGGCTGTGAAGCACTGTAAAGTAGTATATAAATCTAAATGCTATTGCTATACTTGTTTCATTCCTTGAATTATTTTGAGCTAGTCTAGTAGAAACCTTTATGGAGTTTTTTTTTTTTTTTTGAACTCCAGCACATAAGATTGTCTGATTATTTGGTTCATCAGTAGATGGATTTTCCCCTGAATCTAAGATCTTAGTGAAGTTGCATCCAGTTTTGGCCGCCATGATATATTAAAAAAAAATTGTTGAGACTCTGGAAAGAGTGCAGAGAAGAGCAACAAAAATGATTAGGTGACTGGAGACTAAAATATACGTCGAGTTTAATGAAAAGAAGGACCAGGGGTGTCATGCTAGCAGCGTATCAACGTCTAAGGGGCTGCCACAAGGAAGAAGGGAGCGGTCAACCTATTTTCCAAAGTACCAGAAGACAAGAAAGGAAGCAATGAATGGAAAGTAATCAAAGAGAGAATCGACCTAGAAGTAAAGAGAAATTTCCTGACAGTTACTACAAGTAACTGGTGGAACGACTTGTCTCCAGAAGTTGTGGATTCTCTAACACTGGAGGTTTCTAAGAAGAGACGGAATAAACATTTGCCTGAAATGGTATAGAAAATCTCCTGCTTGAATTGGGCGGTTGGGTTGGATTAGAAGACTGCAAAGTCCCTTCCAACTCTGTTATTCTGTTAAGTTGGGTAGCTTTAGCAGAAGACCAGTTGGTGCAGAGAGAACAGCATTTTAGGGCATTATTAGGCTCATAAAAGAATAACCCAACTCCAAATGATTAGTTGTTGCTGGAAAACAATCTTCCAAGAAATCATCTTTTGTAGCAAGCTGAAAAGGTTCCTAGGTATGGCCTGGGAATTGTAGTAGACCCAGCCCAATTGCATGCGTAGCAGATCTGAAAACCAGGAAAACAGAAGTTGTTGAGTCTGATGCAACCTGGGCTCCCAAGGGTTTCACTGTCTGCAACATTGAGAAAAGGATTTGGTTGTGGTTGTGTTTTGATCTCTTTCCTGCTCGGTAGAACCGAGGCATACTCCCCCCTCGTACGCTTGCTGAGTTTATGCGTGACACCTGCCTTTGGAAATTTGGCCTTATATGGAGAGATGAGTGAAACGGCAAAGCATATTATAAGATTCATTCCTTCTGTTGAAATCTGTAAAATCCGTAGAGCGATACCTCCCTCTATGGGCCTTATGCAGCGCCTCCTGGTCTCTTCCCAATTTTTTTACCTACCACCCCCCCCCCGCCTCTGTTTGAACAGAGAAGTGGTTTTATTTTATTTTTTTATTTTATCTGTTGAAAGAATTATCCTTCTGGGTTCAGTTCCAAGTGGGGGAAAAGATACTGGAAACATGGAGGCTGTTTGGAAAGATGGTTTAATGGTGGACAGGACCACCTGGCTTGTAGCTCCAAAGTGAAAAGAACAATCACATGCTTCAAGATGTTGTGTGCAAGAAAAGAAGGCACAAGGTGCAAGTGCAATTGTTTTATACCCTCTGTTGGGCCCCACCTTAGTATTTCCTATTCCTATGTAAGAAATTTATCCCATTGGCTGTCAGAGTCCCAGGGGCAGGGGTCTTAGCTAAGTTTGTGGGCTTTGTCTGGACCACAGGGCTTCACCTGAGTGCTGGCTGATGCAATCTTACTGTCAGCGTTCCAGGGAACCTCCATTCCGATCAGTAACTCCGAGACAAGCATAATCTCAAAAGTACCTTTATTAGAATAGCACCTGGCACATCTGTGGAATTTCAAAACTAAAAGTTTCCCGGACTTCCCACAATGTCCCAAACTACAAACTATCCCCTTTTCTCTCATCATCACATCACATGAACCAATCCCAAAGTAAACTCCTTTTTTCCTGTGCCACACTCGTTGACCTTGAACTAACAAAAGAATTCTATTTTGTCTACTTAGAACTACTCAATAAAAATCACCACCTTCCCACTTTCTCAAGCTATGTGGCAGCGATGAATAAGAATTCCAAAGCTGACACTTACCAGGCCAGGTGGTGAGATGGGTAGAGGTCTTTGTTATGCAGAATACTCTGCCCCAGGCCTTAATGGCCTGCCTATTAACAAAGGTGGGGGTTGAGCCTCTGCTTCTGAGTTTCTACTTCTCTTTTTAGGGGAAATATTCTGCCTTTTTAATATTTCCTAGGATATTTCATTTTAGGGGAGGGATGGGTGTTAACTACCTACATATCAAACCTGCAAGCTCATTAACTCTAAAGAAAGAAGAGCCGATCAGGAATTTTAGGATAATGTCTTTCCCAGCATTCCCTTGCAAATCCCCACAATTTTAGTGACTTTCCATTTTTCCTCTTAAAGCCTGGTCTAGAATGCAGGGCTGCAATTGTGCATCTTTAACCAAGAAAGTTGGTTTGCTTGGTGCTCAGGGCTTTGCAAGGAGGAGAACTATGGCCTCCTTGGTGCTCTCTGAGCTTGCTGGTTTTCTTGCAGACATTTCATGACCCAAACTAGGTAATGTAGCACTCATGCTGTTGCCTAGTTCGGGTAATGAAACGTCTGCAAGAAAACAACCAAGTTCGGACACCAACCAAGAATCCCTCACTTCAACCCTGAGTACAAATATTCTCCTTTATTGGAACTGCTGTAAGTTGATGACTATCTATACAGGTAGATTAGAAAGTCTCACTGGACGCTTCCAACAGGTGTGTTCTTCTCTCTCTCTCTTTCTCTTAGCCATGTCTCCATGCAAGATCATGAAGTGCAACTCCGAATTTTTAGCCGCAACTTCGGGGACGCAGCCCCCAGCCGCTGAGGATGCTCCTGAGTTCTGCACTGCCTTGCGCGCCTATGCCCTCTGCACCCACCACACGGCTCGCACCTGCCGGGGAGACCTCTTCTACCACTCTGCAGTCCACGGCATTGATGATCTCATGACCCAACACAACTGCTCCAAAGATGGGCCCACCTCCCAGCCTCGCCTCCCCCCGCTGTCCCGGGGCGACAGCCAGGAGCGCTCAGACAGCCCCGAGAGCTGCCATTACGAACGTAGCTTCCACAAACACTCCTTGCGCCCCAACTACACCCACTGTGGGCTGTTTGGAGACCCCCACCTGCGGACATTTTCGGACAGCTTCCAGACATGCAAAATCCAAGGGGCCTGGCCGCTCATTGACAACAACTACCTGAATGTGCAAGTCACCAATACTCCTGTCTTGCCTGGTTCCCTGGCAACGGCCACCACCAAGGTAGGAATGTCCCCCTAGTCTAGCATGGCTTGGGGAATCTGCCCTCTTGTGGACATTTTGGGAAAGCTTATTTTGCTTGACTTCTCACCGAAATTGAGTTGGCTTGTTCTGGAGGCCTCCACATCATCTTTCTGTGATCCAAGAAAGTCTAACACTTGCTTGTTTGGGGGATTTAAGAAAAATTGCAGAGGCTCAGAATTCTCATTTCACTCTCTAGGCCTCCCTGAAATATTTAAATAAGAGCAATTTTCCCTACTTTGGAGGGATTCTAGAACCAAAAGGGTATTTAAAGGTATACCTCTTTTGTATACCTCTTTTGTATACCTCTTTAAAGGTATCCAACATTTCTAAACAAATGGAAAAAATGGCCTCCCACAGTTCAATGGCATCATAAAATCATTGATCACATCCCTAAGCTAAGGTTAAAAATATGTTAGGACAACTAGCAGAAGAAAGAAATTGAGTGTTGAGGCCTGGTACAACAAATATGGGTGGGTGATGAACAGATCTAGATCGTCTTGTCAATGTCAGTAACCTTTTGCCTTTCATTCCCACCAGCTCACTATCATTTTCAAGAGCTTCCAGGAGTGTGTGGATCAAAAAGTGTACCAGGCAGAGATGGATGAACTCCCAGCAGCCTTTGCTGATGGCTCGAAGAATGGTGGCGACAAGCATGGTGCCAACAGTCTGAAGATCACAGAGAAGGTCTCTGGCCAACACATTGAGATCCAGGCCAAGTACATTGGCACCACCATCGTAGTGAGGCAAGTCGGTCGCTACCTCACTTTTGCCGTCCGGATGCCAGAGGAGGTCGTGAAACCTGTGGAGGATGGAGACAACCAGGGCCTCTATCTTTGCCTCCGGGGTTGTCCATTTAACCAGCAGCTAGACTTCCATGCCTTCCCTTCCACCCCAAAGGCTACTGAAAACCGTCCTCACCGGAAAGGCTCAAATCCATCTTCTTCACCGGAGGTGTTTACCTATGAATCAGCCACAGCCAAATGCAAAGAGAAGCTTCCAGTTGAGGATTTGTACTTCCAGTCCTGTGTCTTTGATCTCTTGACAACCGGCGATGTCAACTTCACACTTGCTGCTTATTATGCTTTTGAAGACGTCAAGATGCTCCACTCCAACAAAGACAAGCTTCACCTGTTTGAAAGGACACGAGACTTGGAGTCAGGTGGTATGGCCACCTCTGAGCTTTCCATGGCTCTATTTCTTTCGCTCTTGGCATTTCTCTGCTTGAATCAAAGTCCATCCCTTTTCTTGTAGACTGGTCTAGACACACTTGGTTGAGCTGGAAAACCAAGGAATGCTGTTATAGTTTGGGGCAGGTGTGAAACTGAGGCAACTGGGGATTGTGTTGACCCAGGTACGTCTAGAAAACATGACTTTGGATCTTCCTGTCAACAAAATCTCCCTCCATGTGGAAGGGTTGTCAGAGGTCCCATCAGCCACGTTTCTTCTTCCTCCAGTTGCTACAGATGATGGAGAGCCCTTCCTTCTCACTTTTCTTGAATGCCTTTTTTCACTGGCGACGGCATTTGTATAATAGTGTTTGGAGAGGCAACCGGAACTGTTGCTCCTGGATCGGGCATATAGTGCTTGGAGATTACAGAAGACCGTTCAAAGACTCTCTAAGTGGGCCAGACATAGGCGAGTCCCATGACCTTGGGGGTCTGCTTTTGCATCCTACTCATGAAAACTGGGCTCGCGTAGTTGCATCCTTGTGCATGGGAGCCTGCTGGTGCACGCCTCTCTCCAGTTTGGCTTGGGCAGCTGCTGGCAGCTGCTGTTGGCTGGTTGAGTGGGTGCCGTGGAACTAGTCTGCAAGGTTTGGATTGTCCCTTTGCCGCCTCTGGGCAGACGCCACCCCTACAAACTCGTTTCCTTCCTCGCTCGCTCTACTTCGGTCTCCTTCATAGAAAATGGCTTCCTTTCACCTTGGCAGAGGATGAACTGGGAAGGAGCGGGAGGGATGACCTGGTTTCATGGGCAATGTGAGCAGGTTGTGTTTCTTTCCAACTCTTGGGCCGGGATCGAGAATCACAAAGCTTCTCCTGTTTTCAAACTCGTTGTCCACTCCTGTTCTGGTACTTAGGAAAATAAGCTAGGGAACTAGGCCAGTATAACTCCAGTCTGTGCCACTCTAGGTGCAAATCTTCTGGATTACATAATCCTCAAGTCTTTCATTTTGGAAAACAAACCATGCCAATCCATAGGAGAGCTGGAACATCTTTTTCAGTGGTGTTGGTTTTCAGACTGCAATTACACCTTCTTCTCCAATGACATGTTCCTTTCTGCTTCTGCAGAGGGTATGGTGAGTTGCTCCGGTCACTCCCCCTGCTCAGAAGGCTGCCTGCTGAGTTGGTGGCATTACTCTACCAATCAGGTCTTGTATTATAGAACAGAATTCTTTATTGGCCAAGTGTGATTGAACACACAAGGAATTTGTCTCTGGTGCAAAAGCTCGTATAGCATAAAAAACAAGTATTGGGTCATAGGTCATAATCATAAATCGTTAGGAAGCTCACTCCAAATTGACCGGCAATTTATGCAAAAAATTGGGCTGTGCATTTCCCACAAGGTGGGTAGGCCTCATAAACAATGCCATTGTTTATTTGAGGGATGAAGGTGGAGGTGGAAGGTCTGCCTCAGTATTCTGGAAATACCGTTTTACAAAATGCAGCTTCTTTAGTTCTGGGTTTTTCTTTGGCAACACCTGAGCTAAGGAATCTCTGAATCATTATGTTGGGTTTAGGTCAAGGTGCCAGATGAGAAGTCTCCCATCCTAAAACTGATCCGGATCCCTGTCTATTTTGAATACACCATAGGGGGTGTATTCCCATTCTTGGGGACATATCAGGTGGGTGTGTTTGCTGTGTATATTGACAACCTGCAAGTTTTAGGGAAACCTTTGAAAGTGAGCTCAGTCTGCTCCCAAATTGTGAACTGCATCTGTCCACCACACCAGCAGAAGGACATCCAGATAGATATACACAAAGCCTTGCTTTCACATGCTTCTTGGAGAAATCAGTGACTTGTTTCTACCAAGAACAATCCAAGTTCATTGGGCCAATTTTCACGGTCTGACTGCCATTTTCATCCCAGTTTCACTGTGGGCAATACGCATTCAGCAAAGAAACACAAGGGTGTAGCCACCGGATGCAGGTATTTGCTTATTATGATGCATAGAGTGTTGTGTTGGTTCAGCGTGAGTTAGCAAAGAGATGGGATTCCCCTGCCTGCTTCCTAAAATATTAAAAGGAATACTTTTATTACTTCTCTTCATGATTGGTTCACCAGTGGACATGAATGTCTTCTCCATTGCTTTGTGTCAGTTTGAGGAAACCAAATTGGGGCCATTTAGAGAGGGTCCTAGGGGAGACAGGGTGCTCTCTTCCCACGTTTTCAGATGTCTAGAAAGTCCAGGTCAGAATGTCATGTGAATGGTTCATCCCACAGGACAGGTAGTCCTTGACCTACAACCACAATGAAGCCCAAAATTTTTTTGGCTAAGGGAGACATCTTTTAAGTGAGCTTTGACCCATTTTATGGCCTTCCTTGCCACCGTTGTTAAGTGAATCACTCCAGTTGATAAGTTCTTAACCGGCTTGTTAAGTGAACCTGGCTTCCCCTTTGACTTGGCTGGTCAAGAGGTTGCAAAAGGGGATCCCATGACCTTGGGGCTCAGTTGCCGAGCCTCTGAGTGTTGATCACAGGATCATGAGGAGGCTTCAAAGGTTGTAACTGAAAAATGGTCGTAAGTCACTTTTTTCACTGCCGTTGTAACTTTGAACGGTCACTAAATGAACTTTTGTAAGTCGAGGACTTCCTTTATTGTCTCTACCAAGATGCTTACAATCTTCCACCTTCTAAAGTTGTAACTGCAATTGCTCTGAGAGTGATTGCAAACTTGTACTCTTGATGGACCATCTCCAACTGTTGCGTAGGTGTTCAAAACAAGCTAGAAGGACACCACAAAAATCACTGTATAATTGCACTCATAATGAAATCACAACACAGGTGACATTCTGTGCAAACAGATTATTCCTACCGTGGCCTTTTTGATTTTACGGTGGATACCCCAATATATTTGGAGAAGAAAGATACGATATCTGACTCGGTACTAGTTCAATAAGGTGTCCCAGGTTGGCTGCCATAGTTTTCATTTCATTACAGAGCCTGGTGGCGCTGGGGGAGAGGCGGTGAATATTCTCCACACAGTGCTTGGCTACCAGGATTTATCACCATTGACCCTATTTAGGTGGCATTTCAGGCAAGTTGGCTTGGAGGAAAAATCCTAGATGGTAGGTAGATCCCGGGGATGAGTGACTGTGAAGAGTGAAGATCAGCTTGCCTTCATAATTCATACATGCTTGGATAAACCTATGGCACCCATTTCCATTCAGTTCTGAAACACAACCCATTAACACAAAAGTCACCCAGCTTTTTCAAATTCTTCCAAGCTGTGACAGAAGAAATGCAGTGTGATTTTTTAAAAAGTCTTTTTGCCAAAGTAGCATTTAGGGAACTGGATAAACTGTATATGAAATTGCTAAACCATATTGCTAACTGCAACTCCTATAACTCCCCTGCCAATGATGTCACTACAGGAGGAGGGGGACTTTAATCCAAGTTGACTGGCTATTATCAAAATGGCATTTCATTTTAGCATTTCATAAATCAAAATTCTTGGAAAGAGTAAAATTTAACAAATTGGGACGTTTTTCTTAACCAATTGTCATCTTCCATTTCCCTCAACTTATTTCTCTGATTACAGTGAGCTCTAAAACCGTTTCCCAGGTGTTGGAATATTGTTTCTTAACCCTCTAGTTGTTAACAAAGCACTTTATTTTGTATTATCTTCAGTCATATTTTGGCTTCTGAGTGAATTCAGCCTATGAAGACCCAAGAGGCTCTGAATGAAAATCTGAATAAAAACAGGGAAAGCGTTTAACAAACACACTGCCTCCCTCTCCAGCTTATTGCATGTGTGTGGAAATTGTATGGGGTGTTGTGATGTAAATATTGTAAATTATTTATTGAATAAAAAAATGCAAATAAATTTCTTTTTCTTCCCAATAACACAGTCCCGAATTTCTGTTGATGCAATCTTTAGGGTGAAAAAAATGGTATGAACCAGATCACATTTGATGTGTTTGTTGAATTGGCTAGTTCCCTGTAAAACCCAGCTCACCTTGCTGCCAAAATAATTACCAACTTCAGAAAACTGAAGATCAATAAAAAAAATTTAAAAAGTGTGTCATCAGCTTTCACTTAGAATAGATTTTGTTATGGGGAAGGTGCCTAGGTTATATATAACTTTTGGCCTAATTTCAAATTCCTGCGTTGAGATCTTTTTCAAACTGCTGGGATACTTTTCAGAGAAGAGATCAATTTGATGTCAGAAGCAAAAAGAAAAAAAAATAAGTCCAGGAAATGTCAAGCAATATAAAAAAAAGGAGGTGAAGAAGAAGAAGAAATGACTGAGGAAGATTTTGTCTTCACTATCTAGAATCAGGCTTTTAAACTGAAGTAAAAAAATTTCTTCAATATTTTCAACACAATTTCAAACAAAAAAAAAACCCATCAGTTACATCCGTGGTCACCAACCGGTGGGCCAGGGACCACTGGTGGTCCACGAGAAAATTTTGGTGATCCGCAGAGAAATGTCGCCCCCAAACCACAAACCTCCAAAGCAAGGGGGGATGGGAAAGTCGGTCCCATATTCCAGAGCTGCAGTAGTCACAGGACTGGCCCTTTGGTCATCCCGGAGCACCTCCTCCAGTCCATAGCAGGCCAGTGCACCCAGGTGGAGGAGCAGACTACTGCAGCTCTGGAATATGGGGGCGACTTTCCCACCAAATGTCAGCAAGCCACTGTCAGTCAAAATTCATATAAGTGGTCCGTGGGATTTAAAATTATGAGTTTGGTGGTCCCTGATGTCCAAAAGGATAACAACTATTGGGAAAAACAAAAGAGACGGAAATTCCAATTTTTGAAAAACTCAACTTTCATTGTATAACAATCCAAATTACAGGAGCTTAACCATAGAAAAAATTTAATGCATACTTTATAAACCACATATTTACATCAGAAATCACTTCGACAGTGACAAATTCCTTTGTCACAAATACACATTAATATTAGTTAATCCATGACTATGCATCAAATTCCAGAATTCAAGTTGGCATCATGGATAAAAACACAGAAACAGGTGGTAGACCTGGCCTTGTTCTCTACAGTTCCCTTGGTGCAAGGAAGACCATTCCCAGTGTTCATCCAGCATATTGATGGGAGGCAAATTTGGGCTAAAGTTCAGGTGGATTCAGTTCTTTTGACCCCCTTCCAATTCTTACAACCCAAAGCTCTACAGCACTGTATTCAGGCTTTCTGGTTCCAGCATTGATGGCCCTGTAACTGGTGTTTCCTTGGGCCGGACTAGCTCTTTCTGTTGGCCTCTGTTTCTGGGCCTCTAGGTTTTCCAGCCACTCCACTTGCTCTTTGGCTCTAAGGACCTATCCAGAGATGAGTGATGCTGGATGGAAGACTTGACACCAAGTGGAGATTTCTGTGTAGCTGGAGAATGAGGGTCAGGGACCTGGGAGTGAGGAGGGGGAAGGAGTTGCTTATAATCGGCTGATTTATCTTGGTGGAAAGGCCTGTAATGGTCAGATGGCCCTTGCCCGTGATAACTCAAGGGAGGTTGATAATCAGATATCCTCCGATAATCTTGTTGGTAATTTCGGGGCCGGAATTGATCCAACCTTCGCCTCTTGACCTCATGACAGCTCCTAGATGGGAAAGAAGAACACAAAACTCCCAACTCAACAGAAGAGGCACAGATGACCCTATCTAGATCTTGGGATGCTTAAGTCCCTCTGTTGGCAAAGGCATGAAAGACAGTAGTGGGATTCAAATAATTTAACATCCGGTCTCTGCCCTAATGATTTCTTCCAACAACAGTTCACCAAACTGCTCAGAAACTTAACAACGAGTTCTCCCGAAGTGGTGAAAACTGACTGAATCCCACCACTGATGGAAGAGAATGCCATCCCAGGAATGCCATCCCAGTTCTGCAGTACCTAGGGGAAGGAAAAGTGGACAACAGCAGGGTTGGAGCCCAAGCCTACACGCTTTGCACTGTGTGTCATGATATCACATACACTTACAAAAAGGTCCAGACCACACAATGCAAATCTAGAATGCAGTTGAGGGGTGCAGACATACCTCCGGTGAAGGAATGCAAGATTGCTAAGAAAAAATGAACAGCAACTCTGTCCCAGAGAAAAAGAGGCTGTGAGAAATCACAGTGTTGGAAGGGACCTTGGAGATCTTCTAGTCCAACCCCTGCTCAAGGAGAAACCTTGCAATCTCCATTCCATGATGTGGCTGACAAACACCTATCTCTTCTGAAACACTTCCAGTGTTTGGAACATTTACAACTTCTGGAGGAGGCGTTGCTTTTGCCATGCTGACTCCTGCAAAAGCCCCATGGCCTAGCCGAACGGTCTTCTTAGCACCTCACCTGTAGTCTGGTTGTCCGTGGTAACT